CATGGTGTTGTGAAAATCTTTTGGATTTAATGACATTTTTGGTGTGAACCCACAATATGCCACGTATACGCTGGGTGGTTGTGCGTTGTCTAGAATCACGCATGGTGATGACCTTGGCGTCTTTCTTGACCCAAAACTTAAGTTTTGTGACCATATTACTTCCATGGTGAATAAAGCCAGGGGAGTACTTGGATTTATTAAAAGGTGGTCTAAGGAATTCGATAGAATTCGACATACGGATCTATGTTACAAAGACTCTGTTTATTTCACTAGCCCGTCAAATCCTGGAGTACTGTTCAGCAGTGTGGAATCCTCAGTATGGTGTACATGTAGACCGGATAGAGTCTGTGCAAAACGGTGCCTTAACTGGAATGCAAGCCTTATTTTACCATCCTACTCTAGTAGACTTGTCCTAATTAATCTACCATCCTTAGTAAACCGTAGAACGATGCTTGGCACAACTTTTATCTATAAACTTATTCACGGGGATGTGGAGAGTCCCGAGTTACTGGGTCGCATAAGCTTCTCCGTGCCTAATAGAATTACCAGGAACTATGTTCCTCTTACATTAAATATTTGTAGATCTAACTTTGATATGCATGAACCGTTTAGAGTACTGTGTAACGACTATAATAGACTATACCACATTATTTCTACTACCGACTCTTTGCCAAGCCTAAAATCAATAATTTTATCTTACCTAGCACAAAATTAGTATTAGTATTAGTCTCGTACGTATTTGTAATCTTAGTCTGTCCGCTTCTACATTGTGCTTTTAACTTCTCGCGATCTCGTTTTTACGCCTATTAGGCTCCGCGCGTAACAAGCACTGCTTGGTGTCGTAAGGGCCACTTGTTTGCGCTGATCATAGTGCATCAACGTCCGAAATACAAGACCCTACTGCACCCTGCGACCAGTTTGTATCGCCTGTGGAGATTTCCATTGCATTGAAGCATGCCTTGGAAACAAAGAAGACCCTACTCTGAGGAAATGCAGTAACTGTGGGGGAAATCATACTGCCAACTACCGGGGCTGTCCCGTCTACAAAGAGCTCAAGAGTCGCCTAAATCAGAGACGCAGTAATCCATTCGCCGCTCAACACTCTGCCCAACCAAACATCTTCACCCCATCAACAACCACTCCTGGTGTCTCCTTTGCCAACGCTCTCCGCTACCCTGGAATCTCACAAACATCTACCGCCCAGCCTGCAGCATTGCGTTTACAGCCACCCATACCAAACCCAAATGATTTTCCGCTCTTAAGCCAAAATGGCAAAACAACAACTCAACCTTCTACGCAGCAAAACCAAACTCTTCCCCCACAAACACTTAGCGGTCTAGAATCTACACTAGCTACTCTTCCAAACGTCGTGATGACGATTCAAAGTTCCGTTCAAGAACTACTGCGAAACCAGAGCCTTCTAATGGAACTGCTGATCAAACAAAAGTCTGTATAAATGGACTCCTTAAGAATATGCTTCTGGAACGCAAACGGCGTTTCCCGGCACAAAAACGAACTCCTACAGTTCCTAAACAGCCACAATATCGATATCATGCTACTTTCAGAAACCCATCTAACTAATAAAAACTACTTCCATATCACCATACCAACCACCCGGACGGTAAAGCACACGGAGGTACCGGTATATTCATAAAACAACGCATAAAACATCATCCCTTGGAGACATTCGCTACTAACTACCTGCAGGCCACATCCCTACGTATAAACCTAATTGGCGGCCCACTTACCCTATCCGCCATTTATTGCCCCCCACGCTTCAGTATTGCAGAAAATGAGTTTATGAATTTCTACAACTCACTAGGACTCTGCTTTATAGCTGCCGGTGATTATAACGCAAAGCATCCCCACTGGGAATCTCGTCTTATCAACCCCAAAGGCCGCCAATTATACAACGCTATCATCACTCCTGGTAATAAGCTTGACTTTGTCTCACCAGCTAGGCCTACATACTGGCCCACAGATCCAAATAAACAACCTGACATTATCGATTTCGCTGTTATTAGAAGAGTCTCGCACAGGCTGATAAACGTAAAAACCTTAGAAGAGCTTACATCGGACCATTCGCCAGTTCTCCTCTGTCTATCTGAACAGCCGCAGCTTCTGGAACGCCCCCAACATCTAATATCAAACAAAACAAACTGGCTGAAGTACAAAAAATATGTAAGTGCACACATCGAACTAGATCCTGAAATTTCCTCTGAATCTGACATTGATAAGTCGCTTAAACACCTCACGGACGTAATGTCCTCTGCCGCCAAACATTCTACGCCACAACCCTCATCCACAAACCCGCTAAGAACTGGACGCTCAAGTATCCAGATCGAGTCTTTCCTACTTAAAAAACGTAGACTCCGCAGAGACTGGCAGACTCATCGGTCCCCAGCTACTAAGAAAAGACCTAATGAAGCATCTCGAAAATTGTCGAAGTCCCTCTCTACCGAAAAGAACCAGGCCCAACGGGCCTACATTGCGAAACTATCCCCGACGGGTAATAAATTCCCACTATGGAGAGCTCACCAAAACATGCAACCACCAATAGATCCCGATTGGCCAATTCGATCACAAACAGGTGCCACTTGCGCGCAGTGGCGAAGAAAGAGCTAACACCTTTGCCCATCATTTGGAAAACGTCTTCAAGCCTCACCCGCCATCCAACCAATTCACTCTACCGAATGTCTCGCTAGCGTCGCCGTCCTCCCCAGTTACCCTTGAAACCAGCACAATACTTAAGGCTATTAAAGAACACATAAACCCAAAAAAAGCTCCTGGTCACGATTTTATTTCTCCAAAAATGATAATTGAATAACCTGCATGCGCAGTCAGATGTATCGCATTTATATTTAACTCAATATTGAAATGGGGCTACTTTCCTGACCAATGGAAAAAGTCTGTCATTACAATAATCCCGAAGCCAGGAAAAGACAAATCCCAGCCTTCCTCATACCGGCCCATCAGTCTGCTCCCATGTCTATCAAATCTATTTGAAAAACTGCTTCTTGTTCATCTAGTAACACATCTTCAAAACAACAGAACGATCCCTCTGCACCAATTCGGATTTAGGGAAAAACATGGAACTATCGAACAGTTAAACCGCTTAACATCTGAAATTCGCACGGCTTTCGAACATAAGCAATATTGCAGTGCCTTATTTCTGGACGTATCACAAGCATTTGATCGCGTCTGGATCGAAGGTCTGGTATACAAAATCAAAACTCTCCTACCGGAAAACACTCACAATTTGCTTGAGTCATACCTCAGAAACAGAGTTTTCACCGTGAGATGTAAAGCCTTTACTTCAACCATCCGTAACATCGAAGCTGGAGTACCCCAAGGAAGTGTGCTTGGACCAATCTTGTACATCCTTTACACGGCAGACATTCCAACAAGCCGCCAGACCCTCATCTCAACCTTTGCTGACGACACTGCCATTGTCAGCCGCTCGAAATGCCCAAAAACAGCTTAAGCCCATTTAAAAGAACACCTGGTAGCTGTAGAAAAACGGCTCGCAGACTGGCGTATCAAAGTCAACGAGCAAAAGTTTAAGCACATTACATTTACACTAAACTTGTCGAAATGCCCACCACTGGCGCTTAACAACAAGCCGGTTTCACAATCAGACGAAGTCACCTATCTCGGCATACACTTAGACAGGAGGTTTACCTGGAGAAAGCATATAGAAGCAAAGAAGACCCATTTAAAACTAAAGGCCAGCAGCCTTCACTGGCTCATGATCTACCGCTCCCCCTTCCACTCGAATATAAAGTACTACTGTATAACTCGTGCTTAAAGCCGATCTGGACCTACGGTTCCGAGCCCTGGGGAAACGCAAGCAGCGGCAATATAGAAATTTTTCAAAGAGTACAATCAAAGACCCTACGAACAATAACTGGAGCCCCCTGGAACATCCGCAACGCAAACATCCAGAGAGACCTGGATATAAATCCCGTAAAAGAAGTAATTGTTTCCAGAAAAATTAAATATGAAGCCAGATTATCAAATCACCCAAACCTGCTAGCCAGACAACTCAACCGGCTAAGCTATCATTCCCGTCTACAGCGGAATGATTTCCCATCCCTCTTCAATAACATAAATTAACGTAACATAGATTAAGATTTGAAAGCTTATTGTTAGTCTCTTAAGTAATAGAGAAGATCCAATAAATAAGAATAAAGTATATATAAAAAAAAAACTTTGTCGGTGGCTTGCTGGAGCTCTGAGATGCGATTTCCTACGAAGCAGTTCAGCTGAGAAGAATGAATTTTTAGCCATTGTAGGACTGTCTTAGAGTCGGTCCAAAAGTAGGCCTTTCCGATGTATGGCGCTATCTTCTGAGCTATTTTCTTGTACGTAGAAGAGAGCAAAACTGCTTCGCATAACTCCAATTTCGGAAGCGTTTGTACCTTGATTGGCGCTACACGAGATTTGGCAGATTTAGCAGATTGACTTCGATTCCTGGGATCCTCTTAGCTCGTATGTAAATGCAGCATCCGTACGCGTGTTCCGACGCGTCAGCGAAGCCGTGCACTTCGCTATCGTGGCTAAGTGACGTGTGCACGAATCTTGGAATGCATAGATTCGAGGTATTCTTAAGTTCTCCTTGAAGAGTTTCCCAGGTTAGTCGTAAATTGCCTTCTATGGTTCGTCCCAATCTAACTTTAAAAGAGTTAGATTTTGTAGGAAAATCTTACAACGTATTACAATTGGACTGATTAACCTTAAAGAATCGAAAACCCTTGCAATGGTTGAGAGAACTGTTCTTCGAGTCTGTCGTTCATTGACGAAAGCGTCGTGGTGAAAGCCGAAGATATCCTGAAGGGGCTTCCACGCTAATCCGAGGGCTTTAACGGTATCTGGCTCGTCGAGTTGAATCTTAACTTCAGATTGTAGTCCGTCTACCAAGCTAGTTGAGTTGCTGTGAAATTTCGTTGACACGAGGCCCGCTCTTTCCAGCATTTCGGTTAGCTGATGCCTTTTTAGATCTAGTAGGACAAGGTCGTCGGCACCGGTGAGTGCGTCGTACACGTATAGATCGGATTTGAGTACGCTAGCTCCGATCGGAAACTCACTTGCAAATGTGTCGGCGATATACGCCAATGGAGTTTTTCGGAGTCACCTTTCCAAAGAATTAGCTGATACTTCCTGTCTCGTTCATCCACTACGAATTGTCTGTACATCTTACTTATGTCGCCAGACAAGACATATTTGTGTAGTCGGAATGAAAGTATAGTGGTAACGAGATCCTGTTGGATTGTAGGACCCGTCATCAAGATGTCGTTCAGTGATTGGCCATTTGACGACTTGGCCGAAGCGTCAAAGACGACGCGGAGCTTTGTCGAGTTGCTTTGCGGTCTTAAAACGCAATGATGCGGAATAAAGAAGTGTTGATGATTCCAGTCTATGTCCTCGAGCCGAGACATATGCCCTTGGTCAATGTATTCCTGCATGAATTGATGATATTGTCTCTTTAACTCGGGGTTGTGAGAGAGTTTGCGTTCGAGCATGTTGAAGCGTTTTGATGCCATTTCGAAAGAGGATCCGAGGGTGGGATGTCCTTCCTTCAATGGTAGACGTACTTGGACACGTCCTTCAGTATTCCACTGGACGTTGGCTACGAAATGATCTTCGCACGCTTGTTCCTCAGCAGAGAAGCTTGATGGTGTCGTGTGGTACACTTCTACTCCCAGAAGCGATGTACCATGTCCTCGATTGAACTGTCGGATCTCGTTAAATGACATTGATAGGTTAGCTGTTTTTTCGATGAATTTAAATGACCGCCGACGATCCACCCAAACTCCGTGTTGAGCAGACTAGGCAAGTGTTGACCTAGCGATTGTTTGTCTCCTAGGATAGCTTCAAAAATCCTTCGGTGCTTATAAGGACGTCGATTTTGTTCTGTTCGAAGAATCTGGTGGTGCAAGCATGATTCCCTCGGGAAGCTTCCATGTGGAGGTGTCGATATATTCCCGGGGTTGCCTTGAACAGATCCGCTTAATGACGCCAAATTCGGATGACCATTGAAAATTTGAAATTCGAGATTTGAGTGTGGCGAAGACATTGTCAGGAATTGATTCACAAGCCTCCGATATCCCGCTGACAGCCTGAGAAACCCGCGCTTTATGGAGGTTTAGTCGCTTGGCGGTTTCCTCGGTGATTAAATTGACCTCGGAGCAAGAATCTAGTAGAGCTCGAACTAGCTGATAATTGCCGGTCACGTCCTTGATCTGTATGACAGCTGTTGGTAAAACTCCCTGCTTAGATGCTCGCGTTAACAGGGCGACGTTTGAATTAAGCTGTACAGACTCTTGGTTGTGTTGGATTGCGACGTTAAGTTGGTCCTGAGGATTTTCTATGGATGAAAAATACGTTGCTAAGTGGCTGGACTCGTGGAGCAGCGTATGATGTGATGCGTGGCACATCTTGCAACGCGATTTCGATTTGCACTCCTTCAGAATGTGATTTGGCCTTAGGCAGTTTAGGCACAGGTGTGTGCGTTTTGCAAAGCTGGTGCGCTCGTTTGGGTTGCACTTGTTGAAAGCTGTGCAACTAGAGATGTAGTGAGATGAACCCTTGCAATAAACGCAGGTTGCGTTAACGGTCATAAACGCCTTCGATTTGCGTGGTTGCTTCGATGATGATAGCGTGGGTATGTCGGTTCCACCTACGGGGTGATCCCTTTCGCGTGCTTCAAGATATTGACACCGGCGAGTTAGAAATCCGCAGCAATCGTCCCAGGATGGTAATTGATCGTAACTCTGCCTTTCTTGATACTGCATTTTTGTCTCTGGATCCAGTTTGCCTAGCATCAGATGAATTATGATTGCATCCATTACGTTTGCTGCTGATCCAAGTGAGAGCACTGACGACCGAATTGCGGATATCGTATCGACGACGTTTAGAAGTTTGGCTGCATTGGCATTCTCGATGGTTGGAACTGCAAACAAATTTGAAATGTAGTCTAGGAAAATAAACACGTCGTTGTCGTATCGCGCCTCAACCGATCCATTGCCTTCGAGTAGTTTTCGTCGGTAATCTGGAATGATTGTACTACCTCAAGAGCTGGCCCAGTTAAGCAATTGAGCAGGTAGGTAAACTTGTCGATATTCGAAAGGCCACCATCCGTTTCCACGAGATTTGAAAATGCACCAGCGAAACGTTTGTAGTTTGCGCAATTTTTCCGTCGAAGCTCGGCAACTTCAGATTTGGCAGACGATTGTGATGCATGACTGACGAATTGAATGAACTATTCAATGTCGTGTCTCCTGGAATGCTTTCCCGACGTTTCCTTGATATTGCGGCCAACAGCGTTGTTTTAATTTCCACGAACAGCTCATCCAAACTGCTTCGCTCGGTGTCGGCACTGTGTAGATTTTCAATTTGGCCTTGAGTTGTGGAAAGTTGACCAAAGTGCCCTTCTAGTATTTGAAGATAACATTCTAAACCTGGCACGTTTAAAGTCTCCTTCTCCTTATCGAGTTTGGTCTTCAAATTGGTCATGTTTCGCGTAATCGTAGTCCGTTGATGCCGGAGGGATACTAATTTGCTGGTGTTGACTTCGCTTCCAGCGGCAGCATCGCCTGGGTCAACCATTGTGCGGCAAATCTGGTATAACTTCTATCTCTGACAAATAGAACGCTAAATGGAGCTAGTTAAATTTGGCCTACCAACTGAACACTACAGCTACAGAAAATAACAATGAATCTAGATCACAACCTATGCGGACAGAATATTTGTTGCGTAATAATGATTTATTAAAGTAAATAACATTGAGGTTATGTTCTCCCGCTTACGGTGACTCACTGCATGATTGTCCAGTCCACGTGGATGATCCGCCTTGTATACGAGCTGGGATTGTTGCCACGATCGTCTTTTTTTTTTTTTTTTTTTTTTCGCGCGGATTCCCACGGCCCACTTACCCGCCCAACCGACCGAGGGGCGCAGCCGTGTATCGTACGGCACGATTCGCGATAGGATAGACGCGAGATAGGAAAATAAAGGTAAAGGTCCGGGGAAAAAAGTAATAGTTAGATCAATCTTGTGCCAATGAAGCAAGTATTAATCGTTTTAGGAGCGGCAGAGAGTCAAGATTTGATATTACAGGAAAAAGTCTATTATAGTCGGAACATAATACTCTGAAAGGCTCATGCAAGGCATAGTTAGATCTACAATGATTTAAAATTAGGGGAATATAATTTCTAGTTAATCTACTTGGCACAGAAAAGTTTAGCCGACTTAACAAGTCGGGGCAGTCAATATCACCATGTATAAGGTTATAAATAAAGATAGTACCAAGCATCGTTCTACGGTTGGCTAGGGATGGTAAATTAATCAAAAGAAGTCTACTAGAATAAGAAGGTAAGATAAGATTTGCATCCCAGTTTAGGCGCCGTAAAGCAAAAAGAAGGAAGTTTTTTTGTACAGATTCAATACGACCAATATGTATTCCGTATTGTGGACTCCAGACGGGAGACCCATACTCCAGAATCGGACGGACTAGCGAAATAAATAAAGTTTTAGTCAAATAAGGATCATCGAATTCTTTTGACCACCTTTTAATAAATCCAAGCACTCCTCTGGCTTTATTAACCATGGACGAAATGTGATTAGAAAATTTTAGTTTAGGGTCCAAGAGAACGCCAAGATCGTTTACAAGAGTTATTCTATCCAAAGAGCTGCCACTTAACGTGTAAGTCGAGAATATCGGATTGGCCCGATAAAAAGTCATCAGCTTGCACTTGGAGCCGTTTAAATTTAGTAAATTATCTCGGCACCAGTTTTGAAAATTATCTAGATCGGATTGCAAGTCTAGATGGCAGGAAATGTCCTTATACTGCAGGCACAACTTAACATCATCTGCGTACATAAGTACGCGAGAATGACTTATAATTGAGGGAAGATCGTTAATAAATAATGTAAAAAGTAACGGACCCAGATGGCTCCCTTGTGGGACACCGGAGGTAACACGGAGAATTTCAGAAATTGAATTTTTAAAAAGGACCCTTTGTGACCTGCCATTTAGATAACTTGAAATCCATTTAAGCAGATCAACTGGAAAACCTAAAAGGTCAAGTTTATGAATAAGAAGTAAGTGATTTACAGAGTCAAATGCTTTACTAAAGTCAGTGTAAATGACATCTGTTTGAAAACTACTATTGAAGCCTTTTATCACAAATGTAGTGAGCTCTAGAAGGTTTGTAATTGTGGATCTACGTTTAATAAATCCGTGTTGACACGGAGAAATAATTGATCTGCAAAAGTGCTGCAAATGAGGAGTAATAATTTTTTCAAAAAGCTTAGGAATAGCTGACAACTTAGAAATACCTCTGTAGTTACTGGCTTCTAACTTGTTACCTTTTTTGAAAAGAGGAATAACAAATGATTCCTTCCAAATATTTGGGAATTGGGACGTTTCTAGAGATAAGGTAAACAACTTGTGAAGAGGTTTGCACAGGGCCTTAGCGCAATACCTAAGCACGCACCCAGGAATTCCATCGGGCCCTGGCGAATAAACAGGCTTAATACGAAGAAGATCCAAGAGAAGAGAGCTTTCTGTTAAAGTGGGACAGAATATGAGGTTTGACTTGGGCATGGTGTAAGAATAAGGCTGAGATGAATAATCTAAAGTTTAGTAAGTCGTTTGAAAAAATTGGGCAAATATATCGGCTATTGCCTGATCTGTGGTTCCCGTCATGTTTTCGAACGACAGCGAGGAAGGAAAAGAATTAGATTTACGCTTGGTGTTAACAAAATTATAAAACTGTTTCGGGTCCTGAGAGAACTGGACCTTACAACGGTTTAAGTAACTATTATAACACTGAGCATTAAGCACGGTAAATCTTGATCGAGCACTTAGATATCTAGTAAAAACAGATTGAGAACCGGTATTTTTATATTTCCTAAAAAGTCTGGACTTTACATTTCTTAAGTGTGTCAACTCTTTGCTAAACCAAGGTGATTTATTGGAAGTTGACGGATAGTACCACGGAACACAGGAATTAAAAAATGAGTTTATTGCAGTATAAAAAACATTAACTGCATCGGACATATTATTGCATAAGTAAAGATCAGACCAATTAAAGCCAGAAATAAAATTATTAAGCCTCAGAAAGTCTGCCTTGCGAAAACAAAGTATTCGTTTGGATTTTTCTGATTTTTCTTCTATAACTCTACCCGTATCAAATGAAAGTTCGATTGTTTCGTGATATGGATCTTCAGGTTGCGTGAGTGGTGCTACTCTGGACAGAAACACACCTTCAGGATTCGATACAAGACACAAATCAAGTAGGCGACCTAATGAATTTCGAACATGGTTTACTTGAGATAGAGATATGTCAAGCAGGCCATCAATAAAATCATGTTGTGCTATAGGTAGTAAGACATTCGATCCATCCTCAGTGGACCAAGTAACTCCAGGTATATTAAAATCACCTAGAACTATCAACTGATCCCTATCGGAAAGCTTATTTGCAACGGACTTAATAACGGAATGGTGATTTAAATAATCAGGAAGTTCAGACAACGGCGGAATATAAGAGCAAGTTATGTATATAAAGTTACCAGGAAGCGATAACTTTACACAAATAAATTCAATGGTATTGAATTCATCAAAAAATAACTCCTCAGACGGGAAGTTTGAATCAACTCCAATTAAGACTCCACCTCCCCGTCTAGAGGGACGGTCATACCTATATATTGTGTACTTACCTGGAAAAACTTCGGAGCTAAAGATCTCCGGCTTTAACCAGGTTTCTGTGAACACAATAATATGAGATGCAAAGGAAAGGCTATCAGAATACAATTTAGTGAGTTTGCTACGCAAACCTCTTGCATTCTGATAGGAAAGAAGGAGGTTAGAAGTTAGTTTTTTGAAATTGGCACACTGGTTTGGCCTCGACTAGGAAGTTTTACTCCTACGGGCCCCTTCTTCTTTATCTTAGCCTCGAACTCTTTTACAACCATATTATCCGGCCAAAAGTCGCCCGAGCATATGGCTTCAAAAAGCTCGTTAGGGACAGTTATCTTGAAAGATGAAATGTCTCTAGCATAAGAAAACTTAAACTTTTCCACCTTTACACTATTACAATCGGCTTTAGTTTTGTCTTGTATATAAGACAATACATCAGAAGATGTTTGATCAGGGGAAAGCCGAGAAACGAAAATTTGTTTCTTTAGTGGAACCACTAAAAGGGATTTTGGTGGAGCAGACATTGTTTCTGCAAAACCAACTTGAGCCGGTTGTCCGGACTCAGTAGTCCCTTGTGGTGGTGATACTACATTCTGAGAGATAGGTGGATCCACTAATTGTGAAACCACTACGGACAAATCGGAATTCTTAGAAGTCCCTGGTTGCATGCATTCTGTAACGGATTGTTCGGATACCGAATCTTTTTTAGCTGCTGATCTTAGCAACATTTGAGGGTTTGCTGAAATCAGCTGCTGATCCGCCGGAATGCTCTGTTGTTCTTTTGATTTCGGTTGCGGGGTGTTCCCCTTTTGCTCCTTACCACCAGCGGCCTTTTTGCGCTTAGGGGACTCTTCTAATAGCTTACGACTATTAAACTGCGAGTCCAGCGCAGATAGGAGATCATCAGCTCGGCGAAAACTATCTCTAGCCACTCCGAAACAGCTAATCAGTCCCATCAGGCCGCCTTTAGTTTGGCGCATGAACGATTTCATCTCGTTCGCAACCTCGACACAAGCGTCACAACAAAACTGCAAATTGGGCCCCTTTGAAAGGTCATCACTTGTCCGGCCAGTAAAACCGGCGCACTTGGTGTGCACCATATTTTCACACAGCCAGCAAGTCATATTAGACAGGTCAGCCCTGATTACGAGGCTGCATTTTTTGCAGAAGCAGACTAAATTTTTATTATTCATTTTATTTATTTACCACTGTACCAAGAAAGCGAAATTGAAATTTATAAGCGAGCAGTTATAAGTACCGCAAGAGCGCAGAAACTGCACGCTTAGAACTTTCAAAAGCAAAGAGAGCAAGAGAGCGGGAGCGTTAATAAGTTAAAGTGCATGCACAAAAGAGAAACAGCGTGGATATAAATAGGATAGAAAACACAGATAAGAATTACGAAAAACTAAAACAATTTATTAGTATCAATACAAAGTGCACTCGCGAAGCGAACGGAGTTTAAATTTATGTTTAAATAACCGAAAGAAAATTTAATGTTGTTTTTATAAAACCCACCGATGGGAATAAACGAAAACAAAATACAAAATTCGAAGCGCAGAAAAAAAACACGACCGTTCACTTTGAAAGTCAAAGACGATTTTGGATGTTTCTCCAATGCCTTTGGTGTGTCCTAAGATGAGCGCGCTGGTTGGCTTGTGTTGCGGCGCTTTTGCCTAAACTTCGCTGCAAAACGCTTTTGTGGTCTGGTGGAAATTAATAGCGTGGCCTGTACAACACCAACAACTTGACACTGTCGGACGGAACGCTCGTCCTGTCACGGTCGCCAAATTATGTTCAGACCTTTCTCTGAGTAAATCAGCCGAATTTCTTCGGGTACGGTTGTTGTAAAGTAAAAGCCCAATTTTCTACGTTTTTTGCGCTTCAGTTTATTACTTTCGTCGTTCTT